TGTCTTCTGTAAATTCTAATTGATTTTGTCAACCAAAGTTTATATTTATATTGTAAAAATACCCAATTTTACAGAACATCACTTTTAAGTTTACGCAAGGGAAGTTTTCTATGAACATACGAGAATATAATATTCCTTACAGTTGTAAATCAACTCATTTGCCCTTACTTAAAAAAATAATTTAAAACTGACTAGACAAAAGTATGAATTAAATCATACGAACAAGGCCCGATTCGCTTAAGCTAAACAAATTGCACATTAGGGCCTCATACTTTTATGTGTATCGTTATTCGGTGCAGACCTTAGGACGACAACAGGCCTAAATCCAGCCCTGCATAAGAATTAAATGTAATTCAGTATTTTCATACAAAAATCGATAGTTTTATAAAAATAAAAGAAAATGTTTAATTATATTTCTTTATATTATGTGTATTTCTTTAAATAGTTGATACTAACGCTAATATAAACGTAGACTAAAAGCATCAATGTAATTTTTTTATCGTGGGTTCGGCCAAGTGGCGAGGAAATTCCGAGAGAATTGTTGGCCCGGATTCGATCCAGGGTTTCCAGAGCGACTTTCACGCTCAACATACAACAATATTTATAATTACCTTAGGCAGAATTTTACTTAAACTCCTTACCTGTCACTCTAAACTACATTACCCTATACAATATAGAACTTCAACATGTTTTCTATGCTTTTCAACTCGGAGTTTATTTGAGACCTGAATTTATTTCTAACAGAGCCATTTATTCCCTGGGGTTTAATCAAGGAAATACTGTATTCTATTATTTATATTTTATTTTCGGTCTCGTTTCATAAATGAAGTTCCAGTTATTAATTTTAAATATAAATATAACAATGAAACAATAAGAAATTATAAAATTCAAAAATAAACTTCTAACAATAAACTTTTCAGGCCATTTTTTTAAAAGGATAATCACTTGAAGTGTTAAGTGTATAATAGTGAAATGGAGAACGAAATGTTAAAAAATTTTTATACATGAAGGGGTTGAAAACTAGATGGCAGCATGTGTCATCTAGCATATAATTGGGTGCAAATTATATTAAATTAAGTATGAGGCATAAAAATTGAATTTTTTAAATGTATTGTTTAGATTTTCGTATTTTTAAATAGCCTATACGGCGGTTAAAGTTTCTAAATTAAAAAAAAAACTATTCAATAAATATTAAAATTATTATATATTTACGTACGTATTTTACTTTAAAAACGCAAGAAAATGTTTAAAATAAAGATAAATAAGGAATGTTAGTAGGTGTTTGAATTACGAAAAGAATGTTATCCGAGATTTAATACTACACTGCCACGTTGTCAACCATAACTAATTTATATATATATATATAAAAAATTAGAAATCTTAAAAAAAAACTTTAAAGAATGAAGAAGAAAAAATTGAAGCTGTCAAGGATATTATTTAATAGGCAGATAAAGGACTAAAGCAGCTTACATAATTTCAAAGGTCAGTCGAATTGATAATTCAAGACGTAGAGTAGGACTAATAAGTTTTTATTGACTGTTTTTTTTTTCTCTATAATTATGTAATAGATTCTTATTATAACTTCACAGATGGCAAAATTTAATCTTTATTAAATAATAATAACAAAAAAGAATCTTGTTGGAATTATTATGATATTTCTTCTTCGGCTTTTGTCGGAATTCCTTTCTTTAATTTGCATTCTAAAACATTTTTCCTCAGCCGTTTCTAGGGAAAATGCGAAATGTCTAAATTTCACCTTTACAACGTGATATAATAGATCATAGATCATAAATANTTAAACATTAATTAATTATATTTTTATTGTAAGAGATTAAATATTTGTAGTTAATAAGCAAAAATATTCAAACTAGAACAGCAAATTAATATGTAATTCAACCAAAGCTGTGGATTTAAATAAAGAAAAAAATTAACTATTTTTTAATTATTAATTTAATAAATAAAGTAAAATAATATTAATTAAAATACCGTATATAATAAAACCTGTGTAAACGGAAAAAAAATTCCGGGTTATACGGGCCTGACTTTAATAGATTATTCATGAAGTGTATCTTACGGCCTTATAAACTCGTATATTTGCTTATGACCTGTATTAATTCTCGATATTTAGTTAATAAATTAATATAGTTTAATATGAACTTATTTTAATTGTATCGATATTAAATATTAATGTCATTTCTTTCAATAATAATTTATGTCAGCAGAGAAATAACAAAAAAGTAGGTTGGAAAATTGAAATTTTTTTTAAATGAAATGCGTGAAAAAATGCAATCAGTAAAAATAATTTTAAATATTTATTATAAGATTTATTAAAATAAAATTAAATTTATTATTAAATAATAAATGTATTTACGCAAATTCCAAATACATAATCACTTATTTAAATAAAAATTTTATTGGGCTGAAATTTAAAAAAATTGTACAGCTATAAATTCCCACTATCGTCCGTCTGTCTGCCTATCCTTAATTATTTGAGAATGAATTTAGATAGATATAAGACGAGACTGGATATGGAAAGCTTATGAGAAGGAGGTTCCGATTAAGTATACAAGAACTTCCGATCTAGACCGGAAAACATGTTATTTCAATTCAAAATTTTTCCCTGTAAGGAGTTAAATAGGTGACCGGAACGATTTTATTGCATACATCACTACTTTTCCGTTAGCAATATAACGGCAAAGTATGATCTTTCTAATTAAATTTATTTAGAATTACAATTAATTTGCATTTGTTTACAAGTAATTTTTAATTAATGAAATGAAAAAGAAATAATTTAAATTGCATTACATTTAAAATTTGTAAATAAAATAAGAGTTCTTTCGCTTCAGACACGCGATTATTTTATAAAATATCATTTCTGTATCTAATCATGCAAGCTGTAATCGGCATCGTTCAATAACATTATTAATTTCCCTTACAACTTTCTATATTTATAGTTATTTTTCAGAAACAAGCAAGTTTTGATCTAATTTATCTGAATTTATTAATAAATGATTAAATGAACAAATCGAAACTGCACCAGCAATTTATTATACCAGTGGACTGGGGAAAATTTATGGATCGGTTGCTTTTGTCATGTATTTTACCTAAGTCTTTTTGTATAAAATTCTCCGCATCAACACTTTTCTGTTACTTTAAAGTCTCTTGAACATTCTGTATCGTTATGTAAACTTTAATTTGTACCACATTTTTACATCCTTACCATTCTTTCATAAATCTAACCCCCTACACATACGTATCGCACATTTATACAATAGACAATATCAAACGTTTAAATTAAGAAATAATTTTTGCTATAAAAATACAATGGTATTTTAACAATTACGATCTTGTAAACATTTATTATGATAGATATATCTAACAGAGCATGAATTACTCTGTTAGATAAATTACTGGACTCTTGAACTGATATACTGTAATGACACCTGATATAACTAACAATTCTATGCTATTGCTATTATGTATATAGCGAATTCCTGATATAATGAATTACTTAGCTGGGTACTTTCAGTGTTTATTATATCGATAATGCTCTGTATTTGCAAGACAGAGAACGTTACGTCTAAATTTAGTAGTAAGAAGCTGGAGATATATTATCTAAAACTTATCTAGTAAATAGTTATATTTGTCCAACTCTTAATCAATTAAATCTAAATATTAAATTATATTTGTTGAAATGATATGTCTTATAACAGTTTTGATTATCGAGTGGAGTTTGTACCTCAAGGTCTACAGTAACATTTATACAGAGAAATCGTTATTTATCCACTTAACACAAATTAAAAATTTGAATTAGCCAATTATACATAAGCCAAATGAATTTATCCATATTCTGATAATTATTGGAGATAACGTTTCTTGCATTTTGTAGAAACAAAATCCAAGTAAGCTTAATTAAACTTTCTAAAGTAATTTACTTCCTTCTGTTTTTTTTTTCGTTGTAAATCTGCTTAGAGAATTGAGTTTTAAAATAATAAAGTGAGATGCACAGCAATAATCTACATATAGAATGTCCGTTTGTTTGTTCTCTATGTACTTCTTAACGCTTTAATCGGTCTGCCTCAAAGGTTGCATAATTACTCTCTAGGATTCCAAAGAAAATGTAGAGTATACTACCATAATACCTGAACATTCCATTACTCCTGATATCATCTCTTGACATTTCGTGATATATATAATTAAAATTACCAAATTTTAAATACTGTTCATGTTTTAATTTTGCTCTTATGCCCGGGTATCGCCGGGCATATCTGCTAATAATTTAATAACTTGAAGTTTTAAATTATTAAAATATTTTAATATATTAAACATTGATTAAAAACTGGAATGTTTGCTAATTATATTTTATACGATTACGCTGTTTATGTTGTGTTATATATGAAGATAAATATATAATATAAATTTAATTACTAATTTTAAAACTGTTTTCTATATCTACTGAAAGGTTAGATTCTCGGAATAGCATTCATATTTTTTTAATATTCTTCATACATTTACAAATATGTAATTATTAAAAATATTTTTAAAACAAAAATACTTATAAAAAATTCAAGTTTACATTAGTAAAAGGATGTAAAGCGATTAATTTATATTTTTATTCGATAATATATTGATGAGGTTGTAAGAGGAAGTCATCACGAAGATGAAAGCTGGCAAAAAAATCTTGCACGACTTTTCAGGCATTCGAGGAGGAGGTTAATGGGACCAAGAAGGAATTTCGATAATTTTCAAATATACTACGTTATAAAGATTTTTTAAAAATCCAGCAACGAGTTGCTTAACTTTCCCGACAACATTTGGTGACGGCATCTATTATCATATTTTATTTATGAACTTTTTATATTTTAGTTATTATAAAATGGAAAAAAAAGCTTAATTTTGAGGGTAGGGATGGGTTTTATAAAAACTTTTAAATGTTAATAATGAGTAAAATCGTCATTAAGTCCAACCCTACTGGAGATACACACGACTCCCATTAAAATGCCGAGAGTTCATTTACTGGTAAAAATATTCATTTATTATAGAATACGAATAATTTACATGAATTATATTTTAAAATAAATGTATATTTTTTAGAGGAAATGCTCTTGGGGAATATTCAAACGCTATATAAAGTAGGAACCGAAACAATTCGAATAGCTATTGCTTGGTCTCTTTTAACAATGGCACACTATCAGGAAGTCCAGAAGAAAGTCCAAAAGGAGATAGATTCAGTCATAGGAAAAGATAGTTTTCCTTCATGGACCGATCATTGGAAAACTCCATATACAGTATCGGTAATGATGGAAATCCAGAGATGGAAAACTACTGTCCCATTTAATCTATTAAGATAGTAAGTTTTAAACCAATTAATATATTTTAAAGTAAATTACGAACACTTTTAATTTTGAATTAATCTTCGTTATTTAGTGCTCTGAAAGATACAACTCTTCAAGGTTATCAGATTCCCGAAGGAACTAATATTTTGATAAACTTATGGAGTGTTCATAACGATGATGCTCATTGGAAAAATCCAAATAAGTTCTTCCCCGAAAGATTTTTAAATAAAGAAACAGATTACGTAAAGAACGAGGATGCTTTCATGCCTTTCTCAATAGGTGAGACATCAAGTAGTTTTTAGATTTTTTTGTTGTTGTTTTTGGACCAAATAATTGAAAATTAATGAATTTTATAGGAAAGAGATCGTGTCCAGCAAAATCTTTAGCAAAAGTAGAATTATATCTTTATTTTACTTACATATTACAACGATACAAAGTGTCGTTTCCAGAAGGATTCAGTCATGATTTAGATGGTATAACTGGAGTATTTTATCGGCCGAAGCCATACAAATTATGTTTTACTAGAAGATAAACATGGCAAAATTTCTCATTATTTTATCATTGATAAATATGAATTTATGAGATTAATATCGATTTGTGGTATATTGTGGAAAGTGCAAGAATCGCGATTTTTTTAAATATTAGAATAGAAAATTGTATAGTTTTAGATATAGACTATTATTGTAAATCATTTCAATTTTGTGATAATGCATTTTTTCACAAAAAGTATAACTGCTTTATGTATAAAAGTGTTCATTTATTGATCAAATATACATTGTAAATCATATGTAATGTATGCATATTTAGAATTTTGATACTTTCATAATTGAAAATAAAGATTTAAAAAGTATTACAAAAAGGGTTTAATTTTTATATCAATTTCTAACATTCCATTGTTACATATTCTTTTGATACCTACAGTATTCCATTAGTATCAACAGGTATCAAAGAAGCTTTCAACCAAAAACTGATTTGCCTTTTTCAATTGCTTTCATACCAAAATTTTTTACGCTTTCTTGTAATCCACCATCGGTAAAAAAATTCGAGATATTTTTCCACCAATCTTCTCCTTTCTCCATTGTTATTTCTTTGAATTTTTCCACTGCTTTCATGGCCTGATCGACTTTTTCTTGTCCTTGTTTCTTAGTTGCTTCTGCCATATTTTTAAACATATCCATAACTTTGCTCGGGATATCCGATGGACTAAGCGATTTCTTCTCATCTTCGGCTTTGGCAGAACATAAAATTAATCCCAGCAACAAGGAAACAATGCAAACTCGATTCATGTTGTTGAAGTTTCTGTGGAAAAATATTTCGTATTTTAATTTATTTTTAAGACTGTTTATTAATAAAAATTAATAAGAGATTTTACTATTAATTAATGAAGATGATAGAAATATTTATTATCAGCAAATAGCCTAGAGGGTATGCAAATTATAAGAATTCCAACGATAATAATATAAATTGTATCTTGTATATATAAATATATTCTTACTTTTGATACAATTTTATATAAATTTATGTATATATGTATACATAAACACATACTTACTTAAACAAGTATATACATACACTTACAACCCAAACACACTGCTGAAATATTGAACTATATATGCAACCACTTCTAAATTTATTAAGAACAAACAGAATATTCTTTAATGTTCAATAATATACTAAATTAATAATATGTGACCTCAAAATTTATTTCGGTTTCATACCTTAAAGTTTTAGAATTATTTTAATGCCATTTCTTTAATTAAGATTACAGCATTATGTTATACTTTTATATAAAACAATGGCGTAACTAGAAATTTTAAAAATATAAAAAGGTTTTAATAACAAATGGTACATATACGCAATTTTAATGTTGCCGGGAAAGTTAAGCAACTCGATGCAAAATTTTTTAATCACGTATTAACGCATAATCATACAGATACAATACTCTGCACTGGAACACACGAACACATCTACCGAACTGACAATGAATTTAATCTAATCGGCACATCGATTTTATTTTCTTATTTTTCATATAGGAATACATCCTATAATTAATATATACAGTATATATATATATTAATTATATATAGGCCTATATCAATTTACCGAAGAATATAGAAGAACAGATAAAGGCAAAAAGAAAATCCAGTAACGAGTTTCTTAAGTTTTCCTTCATCATTTTATAATGCCATCTATTATGATATTTTATTTTAAAAACTTTTTATATTTTTAATTATTATAAAATGGCAAAAAGCTTAATTTTGAAGATAGGGATGGGTTTCATAAAAAATTGTAAATGCTAATAACGAGTAAAATCGTCGTTTAAGTCCCACCCTTTTGGAGATACACACGACTCCCATTATCTCCCCACTCCGTCGACCTTTAACCATCAAAATTTAACATCATCAATCCCTCTAATAAACAAACCGACCCGTAAAATTTCAGAAATTTTCGACCAAAAGCACAGGAGTTATTAAGCTTCAAACAGAGTGAACAAAATCGTGTTTCCCCACACAAACGTACAGAAACCTGTCGATTTTTCTTTGTATTTGTCGACGTTTTAAGGCCCCACGAGTCCAAAAATGTAAAAATCTTGCGGGTGATTTATTGAGCGATGGCCATACTTTCCCTCTGTTATATATAACAGCCGGGAAAGTAATAAGTAGTCTAGCATTCAATGATCTATATAATATAAAGTATTAAAAATTTACCTGATATTAAACGGTGAGAAATTTCAGACGAAATCAGCAACTGAAATGAGACCTACTGCTTATATATATTTATACAGATGTAGTATTAAAAGAGATAACAAAAAATAATAATGCTATAGAAAGTTACCTGGAATGGAAATGGGTGGAGGTAAAAAGGCGTTTGTTCATACGTTTTCATAGAAGATTATGAATAGTAGTCGACTTCATCAAATTAACAGCTTCAGGATATCCTGCTNGGTTTCCCACTACTTTCAAGAGCAGTAATAGTATCTGCAATGAATGTGAAATAACACTTGATGTACACTAACTTGTTCTGAACATAAATGTCATTCAAAATTTTCTTGGCTTTAATTACACAAACTGCGTTGTCTGCTAAAGTGGCCAGAAGTTTTTTGATATCGAAGAAATGTTCACTGTAATAGTACAAAATTTTAGCCATGTATATGCTAAGGGAAAAATAGGCATTTGTCTAAAATCCACTGTCTAAAAATGACAAATAAAGCATCTCTAACGCTATATTTATTAAATAAAAGCATATATTTTAAAATATTTCATATAGTTTTAATTTTATTACTATAAAATTGCATCAGAGGGTGTAATTTATTTCCATTATTATTGAATTCTAATTTTTTCTGCTTGGGATATGCATTCACTGGGACTTAAATATAAGTAATCAATAATAATAATAAAATGAATTTGTCTGATTGCATTTTCAGAAGAAAAATGGAACTTAAGCAGTTTAATTTAAGAATTAAAGTAAACCTTTGTGGAAAATGAAATGAAAAATTAGTAAAAACTTTTTAAAAATATGAAAACAAACTAAACTTTGTGTTTTAGGCAAAAATAGGCAGCAATATCAAAATAAGCATTTTTAGGCATTATAAAATACCATTGTTTCGGTCTAAATGTTCATGAAAAGTGTTCATACAAAATCTTAGCCATGTATATGCAAAGGGAAAAAATAGGCATTTGCGTAAAATTCGCTGTCTAGTTATATGGTTAAAAGAATGTTTTTTATCCTAGCCCAGGGCCTCACAGTGGTAGTGGTTGATTTTAGTGGCATTCTAAATTTTGTTCATTTTTTTTGTCTTCATTTGTTGTCTTAATAATTTCAATAATTGAAATTATAATAATAATACAAAACAAATACTTTCACACACATATGTATAAAAACAGATTACCAAAAGAAACTTTTATAAATTTGTTGAAATTCAATGGACACATATATTAATTATTAAGAAAGTGAAAAATTATGTGTACATGTGCTTAATTTTAATTTTATTAATAATAGTAATTGTTATTAAATTAATCTTGTTTATTAGTTTGGAACCTCACACTATTATATGAGATATAAATNATAAAATTAATCCCAGCAACAAGGAAACAATGCAAACTCGATTCATGTTGTTGAAGTTTCTGTGGAAAAATATTTCGTATTTTAATTTATTTTTAAGACTGTTTATTAATAAAAATTAATAAGTAAAATTGTATGTAATGCCATCTGTCATCGGATTTTGTGATAAAAAAAATTCTATATTTTTAATTATTATAAAATGGCAAAAAGCTTAATTTTGAAGATAGGGATGGGTTTCATAAAAAATTGTAAATGCTAATAACGAGTAAAATCGTCGTTTAAGTCCCACCCTTTTGGAGATACACACGACTCCCATTATCTCCCCACTCCGTCGACCTTTAACCATCAAAATTTAACATCATCAATCCCTCTAATAAACAAACCGACCCGTAAAATTTCAGAAATTTTCGACCAAAAGCACAGGAGTTATTAAGCTTCAAACAGAGTGAACAAAATCGTGTTTCCCCACACAAACGTACAGAAACCTGTCGATTTTTCTTTGTATTTGTCGACGTTTTAAGGCCCCACGAGTCCAAAAATGTAAAAATCTTGCGGGTGATTTATTGAGCGATGACCATACTTTCCCTCTGTTATATATAACAGCCGGGAAAGTAATAAGTAGTCTAGCATTCAATGATCTATATAATATAAAGTATTAAAAATTTACCTGATATTAAACGGTGAGAAATTTCAGACGAAATCAGCAACTGAAATGAGACCTACTGCTTATATATATTTATACAGATGTAGTATTAAAAGAGATAACAAAAAATAATAATGCTATAGAAAGTTACCTGGAATGGAAATGGGTGGAGGTAAAAAGGCGTTTGTTCATACGTTTTCATAGAAGATTATGAATAGTAGTCGACTTCATCAAATTAACAGCTTCAGGATATCCTGCTAACTAATTCATTTTGCCACCTAAAATTTCTGAATTCCTTTTATTTTATATTAATGACAGTAATTGTGATTTAATATAAATTATCTACAAATAAAGCTTTCAAAAGTAGGAAGCATTATTAATAGTTAAAAAATACGTCAAGGATATTAATACAATTTTTATAATTAAATAAATTTTGTAGGCCTATAATTTATAAAATATTTTAAAAAATTTAATAAATTAATTCAAACTTTATTCAATTTTATAATAGAAAATTTGATAGATTATTTATTGAAATAAAAATGTCTTTGTTAAGTTAATTAATAACCCAGTTGGATGTTTATTTTTATGTAAAGATAATGACAAATGTAATAGTAGAAACAATCATTTTAATTATACAACTGCTTATAATTAATGTTTTGTGATAAATTCCATTATATTTGTTAATAATGTCAATTTTCTGGGAAGTCATTTCTTACGAAATGCATTAGAAAAGTTATCATTTCTTTTATCAATGGCATTAATTGATAACATTGAACTATCTTCGATATTTCGATTAAACTGACAAGCTTAATAATCCTTTATCTACTGACATTAGCACAAATTTTGAAAAATTTACTTTCAACTAGGCGTAAATTGATTGGAGAAAAATTCCATTTACCCATTCATTTTTATAGTTTCCCATAGAAAGCCTTCCCAATTTTCCATAGAAAGGAGGCTACTCCTTTGACAAATCGTCCTTATGTTGCGTTGCCTTATTCCATCAATCCTATTCGTAAAATTGATAAAATTTTTAAGGAATTCTTAACAATTTGCATAATACATGTTAAAACTTGATATGTTAATAAACACGCAATATTAATAAATTAATTAAATTTTAATACAAATCATGTCCATAAAGAAAAGTCGTGATCAGATACAGAAAGACATCTAATCAATGTATTATCGAGTTGTAAAAATCAAAAGAAATTTATTGATTTAGTTCAGAATTTTCTCATTATCGAATTACCAATAAGATCACTTATCTAATTTATGTGTTAGGGTTTATCATAGATCAAATTCCCTTTTCTATCAAGGTTTTAATTTTTGTTGTCGAGCAAACTAATATCTTATCCACTAAATAAAAATAGCTTAAACACTGAATATTGTTACTTAATTAATTTAACAAACAATATAATATTACACAATACCTTAACTATTTTTAGTTAAGAAAATTAATCTTACCACTTATTTATTAACTATTTTTCTTGATACGCGATATGAAAAATCCATTATGTTATTGTTAAATTCATTTGTTTTACGACAAAGCATCGTTTAATAGTAAGGATTGGATTAGATTGAAGGAATAAGACACATGAATGAGCAATTATTTATTGTGACACGGTCACAATACCAGGCTACACTTTTTAATCATATTTTTAATTTATTTTAACTTAAAATATATGCTCTCCACCTCAAATTAGTAGTGGCTTTCCTCCGTACATCATACTTTCCTTTAACAATAGAATCGTGCCAGTCATCTATCTAACACCTTTCTGGAAAAATATTTTTGAATTGAAATAACGTGACTTTCGGTTTGAATAGAAAGTTCGTATATAGTTAATCGGGCCTTTTACCCCTAAAGTTTCCATATCTGGTTTCGTCCTTCATCTATCTAAATCTGTTCTGGAGATTAAGGAAGGTCAGGTAGTTAAAATTTATAGATCTACAATTGTTTCAAATTGCAGCCCACCGAGCTATAGAGGAGAGGTACTTTTCGGGAGGACATTCATAGAAAATTGGCTCCTATTTAGGTGTTAGACACGTGAGCAAAATCCGGAAAATCACGCGGCTGGCTCGTTAGTCAGGCGCGAACTCACGACCAACGTTTAGTGGTTGTATCCACTCGGCTATAAATATATTTAATTTTAACACTGTTTCATTGTGCTACACTAAAAATTACAATTATCCGAGCAAAAAAACAATAATGTCACGCGAAATACGATATCATATCTCGGTGTAAAGGTATAATTGAAGATACTAGACTTAAATTTATTGTATAAAATTAAAACAAAATTATCTTATATAATTTCCACAATAACTACAAATTCTTAATAATTACAACTATTTATGAATAGTAAAAATAGATTCTGTAAACAAACGGTATATCATAATAATTTTTAACCCTATTAAATTTAGTTAGTGCATTATTTTTAACAAGCATATTTTATTTTCACTATCCTGTTTATGTACACAATACTATAAAAATAACGTTATTTGACCCCCTTATATTGAGTAAATTTGATAAATTCGTGTAAACTCAATGTTATCGCAAGTACAGGTATTTATGTCGTCCCAATAGTTTATTTTTAGACTTTTCATCGTCCCCATTACACGATTCTAGATAAAATTAGACAGTTTTTGCTTGTTATTCAAAGGCAAAGAAAAAGAGCAATTATTCAATAATATTTAATTTTAATTTTATTTTTTTCATTCTTTAAACTGGTTACATTAATATGGTAGTGCTTGACATCAATATAAATACCTTTGCAAAACGTGCATTACAAGCAGACTAGGCGTATTAAACCACTGATAACTAATCGTTAAAGATACAACTAAAATGGTAAACAAGTTACTTAAGAACCATATAAGTATAATAAAAATATTGCTTATTTTAATCATAAATTGGTTTTGTACAGTTACGTGAAAACACCCCAACATTAGAAAAAAAAAAACTATACGAAACATTAATATTAATTACTAGTTAGGTATCCGTTTTTATTTATCAATTGAAATCTTCTATCGAATATGTTCTGAACAAGATTTTTACTAGCGTGATAGACAAAAAAGGAGCACATGCACCAAGTAATCCAATGTACAGGCGCCCCTACTGGTTAATAATCTTAATTTATGTCTGTATTCACATAGAACATAAGAGAAAGTGACGATCATAAACCTGTTAAAGAGTGGAGTGTACACGGCAAAATAGGTTCTAGTTAAAAGTACCCACAATTTCAAGTTAACGAGATTATATTATACGAAAAAGCCCTATATACTGTGCCAGGGACCCGTAGACAGTTGACCTTCCATTTAACGAGATTTTATTGAATAAAGGTCTTAGATTTAAATTTTTTCGCACTGGTTGATTTAGCTATACAGTACTGTAGTAGTAGTATTAAATTAATAAATTATTATTATTTCTTCCTTTATTTTTTAATCAATTCATGTTGATACCTTTCCCCTCTGTTATGTACGAGTTTAACAGAGGAAAAGTATGGTGTTCGGTCAAAAAAAAGGCCCTCCACAATATTTTTATATATTTGGGCTCGGGGAACCTTGAAACGTCGAGAAATGCAAAAAAATTCGGTGGTTTATTCTGTGTGTATGAATGTTAGTGTGTGTTGGGGGCACGACTTTGATCACCCTTATTGAAGCTTAATAACTCATGTAATTTTTGTCGAAAATCTCTGAAATTTTGCAGAGAGGTTTGTGAATTAGGGAGATTGGCGCTATTAAATTTTGGTAGTTAATTAAAGGCCCAGAGGGTGGGAAAGATGGAAGTTACGTGTCGTATCTCGAGTGGTATCGGACTTAAATGAGCGTTTACCTAGTCAGTAATAAAGTACTAGTAGAGTAATAGCGATATTTACTATAGTTAGAACGGTGATAACTACAGTAATTAATTAAACTATATATAATATAAATAGATGATCCGACTCTAGAATAGGTATTCCAGTAGAGGCTCGTATATTTCTGAAAGGCAATATTTGGCTCTTATAATGTTAACGTGAAATTAAATATTAAAATTTGGTTTCACAACTTCATTATTATTTCGAGTTTTAATAATATGTTTACTTTACAATGACAAGCATTTTCGAAATAAGTTTTATTGACAAGCATTTTCGAAATAAGCTGTAACAATATTTATATCGTTCTAATTTAAAATCAAATAAATTAACATTTAAAAAATTATTTGAAAAATAAATTACTAATTAATACATTAAAATGTAGTTACAAGTCTTTTAATTATAAGTACATTTTCTTAAAATACAATAATGTTAAAAATATATTCTATATAAAAGGATAAAACAATGCTATATAATATTGTTAAATTTATGTTCTATTTTAAAAATATATTTATGAATAATTTATAATTAATTTTATTGCACTTAGTACATTGCGTAAATCTATCGAAATCTTTCGTGCGAATAAGAAACATTTTAGTGTCTCATTGCTTCATCTTTTGTGTAAAAAGGAAGATAAATGTATTTAAGTTAATAGTTATGAAAATCTTCTAAGGAGTGAAATCAATCAAACCGTCACTTAAATACAAATAAAAATAAAATGGAGGAAAGAAGAAACGAGAGTGAAATAAAAAGGTAAAGAATTAAATAAATAGAATTTTAATTTATAAATTGCAGTTTTAAACTTCTTCGTTTACAGAGAAATTCCCGAATATTCCGACATCGTCGATTTGATGGGAAGATGGGGATATTTGCAAAAGAAGCTTGTCATGTTTCTATTTTTCTTTGGATTTCCTAATTGTTGGAATAATCTAGGATTAACTTTTATGGCACCTAAAATAAATTATTGGTGTTCGTCTAATTTAAATATGTCGGAAGAAGACTGGAAGAAATACATGCTCCCGAAGGAAGAAAGAGATGGAAAATTAACGTATAGTCAATGTCGTATGTACGACATTCATCTTAATACTACAAATTCTAGTGATGAAATAGAATGCCATCGTTGGCATTATGATCTTGACTTTTATCATTCAACAATAATCGAAAAGGTATTTATTTATTTATTTAACTGTGTACAAAGTTTTATAGAAATCGGCTCAGCCGTTCTCACATAATACTCGAACGGACAAACAGACATGGATTTAGTTTTATATACATAGATTTTTTGAACACAGTTTATTTTTTAATAAAATTCCAAGCCAATAAAAAATTAAAGAACTATTAAATAATTTTCTTTTAAAGCAGAATTTCTCGATCAGTGAGATTTCTTAGATAATATCGCACTTTTCCAACAAAATAGCTGAGAAATGAGTAATTATTAACTTTCCCTTTACTTTCGTGCTATTGAAAATAAATGGAAAGTGAATAATGACTAAGAAAATAGATACGAATGCTTTGTGCAAAATATTTATACAATATTCTTCCATGAAACGTGTTAACAGCTGCTTTCGATGTAGTTGATAATTAATTCAATTGTCCGAAATATCTTTTTCTGATAAAGTAGAATAAATTTTAGAAAACTAATTCATACTTTTAATTAATTTACCGGTTTAAAACTTTCTTATATAAATTAAAATGAGTTAAACGTGTTTCTAATACTGGTACTTGTATAAATAAACAAAACAAATGAAAAATAATACAGTAATCTATGTTAATTACGAATAAAAATATAAAAAGTAATATGCTAAAAATGTTTTTTTTTTTTTTTTTTTAATAGTGGGATTTAGTATGTGATAAAGCATGGCTCACCTCCTTAAGTCAAACCTTATATTTCTCTGGATTTTTAGTTTCAATGTTTATATGTGGACAGTTATCTGACAGGTAAATTAAAGCATAAATTATTATATTATTAATATATCTTTTAGATTAATTTATTACCCATTTACTTTATTCATTTATAGATTCGGTAGGAAACGAATTAGCTTACTTTGTGTTATTGGTGCGGGCATTTCGGGAGTAATATGTATGCTATCTCCAACTTATACCCTATTTGCAGCTTCACGATTTTTTATAGCATTCTTTAGATCCGGATCATACATATGCATGTATGTTTTGGGTCAGTATATTGCATTTTTAGTATAACATTCATTCTATGATTTCACATTGTTTTAAGTTTAATTTTACATTCATAAAATAGAATGATCTTCTTCAATGCATTTACAGTTATGGAATGTGTCGGTAAAGAATATCGTTCTCATGTTGGATTAATTCAGAAATACGGATGGGCAACAGCTTATATTATATTACCTGCTATTGTCTGGTTGGTCAGGGATTGGTTTTACATTCAACTTATAGCTACGTTACCATTCTTCCTCCTTTTAAGTATTTATTGGTAAATGATTGATTATATTTCTATAAATTTATATTGTTTAATATATTTATTTAGTATAAATTATAATTTTTACAGGCTAGTTCCAGAGTCGCCTCGTTGGTTATTGTCTCAAAATCGCCTGGAAGAAGCCGAAACTATTTTGAAAAGATGCTTAAAAGAAAACAATATTAAAGTTGAAAATCTGAGAGAAATTGTATTATTTTTATCTGAAAAAATTAAGAATGTATGCTATTTATTATTAATTAGTAAACGATGGATAAGATTATTTTTTTAAATTTAATAATTCATTGATAAGAACATGCGGCTAATATGTCATATTAGTCGAATGTTTTTATATCAGTAAATTATGTAAAGCGTGAATTTGTATTTTAATATAGGAAATGGGAGATAAAAAGAAGCGCCAAGCAAACATTCTAGATTTATTTAAAACACCAAACTTGAGGAAAAAAACATTAATTCTATGTTACGCATGGTAAGTTTGTCAGAGAAATCTTATGTTATATAAATATTAGAGTAGGCCTATTAACATTTAAATTGTAATTTAAAAATTTGTATATCAGGTTTTCTTCGGCTTTCGGTTATTATGGATTATCTTTAAATGCCAACGAGATAGGGGGACATCCATTGTTATATTTTTTCTTTAGTGGATTAGTGGAATTTCCTGCTGCAACATTAGGAATGTTATTAATTAAATATATCGGTCGTCGTAGGCCTCAAGTTGGATTTCTTATTTCCAGTGGCATCATTTGCATCTTAGCTGCAGTTGTACCTTCAAGTAACGTTTAATTTGTACAGTACATAAAATTAACTTATGATATTTTATACTAAATATAATTAATTATTATTTTAGATTTATTAGAATTGAGGATATTTTTCGCAGTAATGGCGAAATTATGTGTATCGGCATCATTTTTAATTATATACATCTTCTCGTCAGAGATTTATCCTACTGTTATTAGAAATGTTGGCATGGGTACGAGTTCCATGTGCGCTCGGATAGGAACTTTAGTTGTGCCATTTTTGAAAGAATTGGTAAGTTGCCGAAGAATTTATAAAGCGAATAAATTTCTATTACTCGAATATGTTTTTTATATTTACATAATCAGGGAGAGATTGTTCATCAAGCATTGCCGTTAACTTTACTTGGCACGTTTTCAATCACTAGTGGGCTTCTAGTCTTGCTTTTACCAGAAACTTTACACACTCATTTGCCAGATACATTAGCAGAAGGGGAACAATTTGGAAGGTAATTTAGCGATAAATAGTAATTAAGTAGGCCTATATAATAAACATAATTAAATTGAGTTTTATATTTATTGCAGGATTTAAGTTAAAGGTTATGAAGATTTTTTTTTCGTGATTTCTATTGAGAAATTAGAAAAATCGTACTCTAATCTTCTATGTTTATAAATGAGGATGTTTGTTTGTTCGCTATACACTCCTAGGCCGTTCGACCAATTACTATGAAACCCAGATGTTACGTTTACATATTTCTAACATAGATAATGTCGTTCATCTCACTCCAGAATATCTATTGGATTTCTGCAAATTCGATTAATTTTAATCTACATTCGATTTGCTGATTTACACTTGCGCCATCTAGTGGGAAAAATTTAACAAAATAATAAACTAAATATAATTCTTATAAAAAAGGATATAATTTTAAAAAATATATATATTATATTCACTTAATTGCTGCGACAATGATATAGCGTGAAATAGACCGCCATTACTGCGACGGGTAGCACATAACACTTGCCTGCGTGGAGTGTAGTAGTGTTTTGCCCCTGTGCATCATACTTTTCCCATTAGCAATAGAGTCGTGTCGGTCATATAGCTACTATAACTCCGTTTGAGGAAAAATTTTTAACCAAAATGACCATACTTCCGTTCTATATTATTAATCTGGGCTTCCTGCCCTAAGCTTTCCATATCTGATCTCGACTTTCATCTATCAAACTTTTATCTCGTAATTAAGAAAGGACAGACAGACAGACAGGGGACGATAATGGGAATTTATAGGTCTACAATTTTTTTCAAATTTCAGCCCAATAACTTTTTTATAAACGCAATATTTACGAGAACATACTTCCCACGTGGTTTATACAATCTATTGCAAAAATATAAACACTTTATTATCATACAAAAGGACCTGCTAGTTAATTATATTTATAATAAAAGAAAATAATTATTTTGTCTTAAGTTTAATTTAACTTTATAATGAGTACGTTTAAATTTACATAATTGTATTTGATACAAGAGTAATTATAATGTAATTATTTAAATAAACTTTAAAATATTCAATTAGAAATAATTAATATTCTGTATAAAGACGAAAAGAATTAAAATAATTTTCAATGTTTGGTCATTTACTTAATTATCATTCAATCAAAACATTTTGTCGTACAATTTATATATTTTAAATCTGTTACGTTCGACTAATTCCCTATTAAAAATTCAAAAATTTAATAATATTTTCGTTAAAAAAATGATTAAAATTGTTTAATAATCATCAGTTAAACCGGTTTAGATTTCTAATATAAAATTATCCGAACAGCTAGACAATTGTTATAAAATTACAATTTATTATATATAAAATTGTTTACTTTTATATAATACTGTTATTATAAAATACTGTAAAAAATCTATAAAAAATTTACTTTAATTATACATAAAAGATGGCAGCAGCGTCGCCTACAGTTCAGTAATACAATAAAGTAGGTCAATGTCTCTCGACCTTTAATGGCTAAACCATTCATTTTACTGTCTCTGTCACGTGATAGCATCTAAAAACCTAAACAAAACTTTCTTTGCTTTGGAGAGAAATTAAATTAAATCGTGGGTGACACGATTTAATTTTCCCCCAAAGCAAAGATCTTTCTGTTCCATTATACTGTATTAAAAATTGATTAATATCTATAACAAATGAAATATTATAGGCAGGAGGCCCCGATTAATTATATATGAACTTCCAATACAAACCAGAGGTCACGTTATTTCAATTCAAATATTTTCCCCCGAAAAGTCTTAGATGACCGGCATTAAAAAAAAGTATGATATAGAAGGTCAAGATACTACTAATTTGAGGTGAAGAGAATATATTTTAAATAAAATAAATTAAAAATATGATTAAAATTGCAGCCTCGTTATAAGTTCACATTTATAACATTTATAATTGTGCACATAATTTTTATATGAGCAAAGATTTAAATAATCATTCTACGCGTACCTTAAAGATGATGTTCATGCTTTCCCTTTGAAAAATGAGATTTATCTCTCGTTTTTTTTTCTTTCATAAATCGAAAGAATATCTAATATTGTAATTGTTATTCTGCTTCTCAGAAGATATCTTTTATAGAGGAATTTGTTGATAATCATCTTTTTATTACTTTTATATGAATCATTTATATTGACTCATATAAAACGCTTATTTATCTAATTTGAAAGCAGTTTATCATAAAATTTTTTTTTTCCTGGCTGTTATACATAACGGAAGGAAAGATCGGTAAATAAAGGATCCTCCCGAAGATTTTTATATTTTTAGACTCGGGGGAACTGGAAACAAAATGGAAAAAAAAAATTGGGGTTTTTTTCTGCATGTATGAATGTGTGTGTGTGGAGGGTTCGATTTTGTTCATTCAGATCAAAGCTTAATAACTCCTGTGCTTTTTGGCGAAGATTTTTGAAATTTCGCAGAGAGATTTGTGTATTAGGTACGTTGATACTATTAAATTTTGGTAGTTAAAGGTCCAGGGGGTGGGGAGATAGAGGAGTTCGTGTGTGATACCTCGAGTGGTATCGGACTTAATGAAGACTTTATTCGTTATTAGCATTTGCGATTTTTTATGAAACTCATCTCTACCCTTAACGTTAAGCTTTTTGCCATTTTATAATAATTAATAATATAAAAGGTGTTTAAAATATCATAACAGATGGCGCCATACACAATTTTAAGATTTTGCTGGAAAAGTTATGCAACGCGTTGCTGGATTTTTTTAAATAGCAAAAATTAATATCTGTGTAAAAGAGAGTTTTCAACAAAACCTATGAAAATATTATTTAGAAGTTTGATTTTCTCTCGTAACAGTTAATCCAACGTTAATTACTTTTATTTGCGGCTAGGAATTTTTCACCGATTGCACTTGTAATCTTGTAATTTATTAATACGATTTTTTTAAAAAGTATTGTTTCGTCATGTCATTTATCAAATTATTCTATTAATTTTATTTTTGAATGGTTGGGCAATGAAGTAAAAATAAATAATAATACTTTTTGGAAACTAAACATTTCCAAGGTCTTTGTATGATGCAAAAGGAAATCCATTTCTTGTAAATTTTCGTAAAACATTGAAATCTGTACACATAAAATATGCTGAAATCTTGACTTTGTGGGAAATTTTATAATGACGTTATTTATTTAGTTTAATTTATCTAATTTTTAAATCAGTTTGGAGTAATTATAATGTATTTTGATCATGTACATTGATTCTTCAATTAATATACGGTATTAATTTCTGGCAAATGTTTATTATTCTGATTATTAATACAAATCATTTGCAATCTACTAATTTTCAAGTCAGTGTGATTCTTTACAATTAATTGTATTCTTCATTTCATTCCATAATAAAGAAGGAATTAATCAGTTATAAAATTTAAAACTCCTTCATAAACAGTTTAATTTTCGAATATACTGTATTCAACTGTACAAATTACAAAAATCTTTTTAAAAATTCCTGTAAAATCCCTTTATCGTATTATATTTTTAATAATAAAGAGCAATAAAAATGTCCACAACTGATGAAAAAGTTCCATAAAGATTGAAGCTCACTCCTTACAATAGCGCTTTATTTTTAAATTGAAATAGTTCTAATAAATCCGCAGAAATTTAATATTTATCAGCAAAATAGAAAACATCATTACAATACCGAGCTGCGATGTTTAATCATATTTTAATTTTAAAAAACAACGTAATTTCCGGTCCAGACCGGACGTTCGTATATAGTTAATCGGGTCCACCGGAATCACCTTTTTATATCTGATGTCGATTTTCATCTAATTAACTAATTGTATTATTAATTAATTAAAATTGACGTGGTATTAATAAATTACATTTTATAAGAATTATTTAAATATTTATCAATAATTCACGAGATATTAAGATGAGTTAGCTATTTTAATAACTGAATTTCGAAGAAAATGGTTTGTAATGGAAAAATACATTTCACGTGTCTAAAACAATTGCGATTTAAATAACAATATTGTACTTAGTTGTCACGGCATCATATTTTTTAAAAACAATAGAAAACCGAAGAAAATTGCTAACTTCCTGTGTTTCATATTTTCAGAAAAAATTGTTTATTCGACTAATTAAAGTATATTATGATTGCATTTACTCAGGAGATTAATGAGAACAAATGCCGGCATTTTATTATAATTTTTAATACAGTGTAAGAGTGATTTTATAAAAATAAAATAACAACCAAAGATTCGTTTTTTTTTAAATTTTTAAATGTGTATTATTTATTCATGTATATTAAAAGTTATCAATTTTATAAGTTTTTACTTTCCCGGCTGTTATATATAACAGAGGAATAGTATGGCAAACGATAAAAAAATGATCCCTAAATTTTTTATATTTTTTGGACTCAGTGAACCTTGAAACGTCGAGAAATACAAAAAAATCCCGGTTTTTTTCTATATATATATGGATATGGATGTCAGTGTGTGTATGAGGAGGCACGATTTTCTTCACTCATATTGAAGCTTAACTCCTGTGTTTTTTGGTGAAAATTTCTAAACTTTTGCAGGCAGGTTTGTGTATTTTGGGCATTGATGCTGTTAAATTTTGGTTGTTAGACATGTGAAGAAAACCCGGAAAACACAGACCGTTGGAAGATGTGAATCATCAACCAATGTACAATAATTTCTTCCAATCGGCCAATGTTGGGCACAATAGAATTTAAGTCCGTTTTGGTTTGATTTTACTTAAAATAAACTTATGTTTTGTTTCTGAATACATTAAATTAAATAATTTATAATTTAATGCTGATAGTAATCTGTAAGAGTAATGTGTTATAAGTGATTACAAAGCAAGGTTTACTTACTATAAGTTTTTGAAAAGTAAATTAATTAATATTTGAAAACTGATTGATAACATTATTCAATTATTTTCAGTTTAAAGGACTTTTAGGGGTAGATGAAAAGAAAAATATTTTTATGAAAGGGATACACAGGGTGTTAAAAATTGAGAACCACTTGACTTAGAGCGCTAAATGAAAAAGTGCTAAACAGGATCATTTTAACATTAAAGATCGGTTAAAACACAAAAAATATAATATTTCTTCATCCATATTTTAAAATATATATATCATTATACACAAATTTACATCTATACGATTTTAGATGAAGTTCCAGCTGAGGATCTAAGATCGTTGACGATTTCTTGGTGGTGTAGCCATAAAATGGCGTTGATGGTCATTTAGAAAGAGATCTCATCAGTGGAATAGCGTTAGGATATATCGCTTAGGTTTCGAGTTCCACTCGTTAAATAACTCATTTTTTTAAAAATCGCTCCATAATTTGCGTGATTATTGCGATATTCGTTACCGAAGATGTATAAAGATATATCATCTTTGGAATCAGAAGCTGCAGATTCTGTATAGAAGATTTGTTCCGCCAATCCAAGAAGATTATCGTTGCTAAAATTCTTGCGAGGTTGCAAGAATTCCCGCAGAATTGTATTATCGCTTGAAATTGTATGTAGTATTCAGTGCAATACGGTAAAACAAGGAAATTATCGTTTTACCGAGAATTGGAGAGTGCCGTAAAGAAATGAGATAGTATTAAACGTGATCTTATTATATTTCAATATGATAATTGTCACATTCATATGAAAGAGTGTCGACTGAAATATGTGGTTCGGATTCAGGAAGATTTAAAATATAATGTTTTATGTCAAAAAACGTGATATAAAAGTGGCGTGAATTAAAATTTCTCTCGATAAACAGTGAAAAGTCAGTTTTATTTGCTGTAGATTTTATTTATATTTTTGAGATGAAGCATCACATCCGCTATTGACCAAACTCCATTTTACTTTTTCAAGTCTTTGAATCTTTACTTCCACGCTTACAAATCTAACTCAGGTGTAAATCGTGAACACACTGTGCCTATATATTTTTTTTTTTAATACATTCGCACATTATAATCACTTTTAGAATTTAAATTACAATTTCAGGTTAAGCAAGTGGAACTTTGCTGATTATTATTGACATTCAAGATTCAAGGGCAATGTTTGTAAATGATAATTTTACTTAAAAATCGTGAACTTGAAGCCATTTATATTTTATGGCATTATATTTTAAACTTGTTTATTGTGTTACGCTTCACGCAATACGATAATAATTTGGTTTTGCGTCACAAGTAATTCGACTTACGTTTGACGTAAATATAACGTCAATTCAAAATAATACGAAAATAATTTTTTTTTAATTTTATTAATTAAAGAATTAATTTTATAATTTTTAAAATAATTACAGCATTTCCAAATAAATTAATTATATTATTTTGCACATTTTTCTCTCTGAACCTCATAGTAACAAAAAGACTTCTGGAGTTGAACGTATTAAATCATTGTCTTCGTATAAAACAATATATGTTTTATGGAATAATAAAACTGCTAAATAAATAAATATTCAATACTGAAATCGCGTTTTAATAGTTAATTTACAGAATTTTCTACGAGAACTGATTAGTTCCAAAACAACGCTTGATAATGGCTCGCTATGGTTATGGAACGGCAATTTATGAAATAAAGAGTTTCGATAAGGCAAGCGTTGCTTTTCATAGAAAACTCGGTAAATAAATACTTTACATAACTTAATAACGATAAAAATGTTCACTTTTATGGCGAAAATTTTCACATTTGACAACAGACCCTTCTCTATAGGCTATTGCTAGAGCCGGAGCTTTNGTTTCAATGTTTATATGTGGACAGTTATCTGACAGGTAAATTAAAGCATAAATTATTATATTATTAATATATGTTTTAGATTAATTTATTACCCATTTACTTTATTCATTTATAGATTCGGTAGGAAACGAATTAGCTTAGTTTGTGTTATTGGTGCGGGCATTTCGGGAGTAATATGTATGCTATCTCCAACTTATACCCTATTTGCAGCTTCACGATTTTTTATAGCATTCTTTAGATCCGGATCATACATATGCATGTATGTTTTGGGTCAGTATATTGCATTTTTAGTATAACATTCATTCTATGATTTCACATTGTTTTAAGTTTAATTTTACATTCATAAAATAGAATGATCTTCTTCAATGCATTTACAGTTATGGAATGTGTCGGTAAAGAATATCGTTCTCATGTTGGATTAATTCAGAAATACGGATGGGCAACAGCTTATATTATATTACCTGCTATTGTCTGGTTGGTCAGGGATTGGTTTTACATTCAACTTATAGCTACGTTACCATTCTTCCTCCTTTTAAGTATTTATTGGTAAATGATTGATTATATTTCTATAAATTTATATTGTTTAATATATTTATTTAGTATAAATTATAATTTTTACAGGCTAGTTCCAGAGTCGCCTCGTTGGTTATTGTCTCAAAATCGCCTGGAAGAAGCCGAAACTATTTTGAAAAGATGCTTAAAAGAAAACAATATTAAAGTTGAAAATCTGAGAGAAATTGTATTATTTTTATCTGAAAAAATTAAGAATGTATGCTATTTATTATTAATTAGTAAACGATGGATAAGATTATTTTTTTAAATTTAATAATTCATTGATAAGAACATGCGGCTAATATGTCATATTAGTCGAATGTTTTTATATCAGTAAATTATGTAAAGCGTGAATTTGTATTTTAATATAGGAAATGGGAGATAAAAAGAAGCGCCAAGCAAACATTCTAGATTTATTTAAAACACCAAACTTGAGGAAAAAAACATTAATTCTATGTTACGCATGGTAAGTTTGTCAGAGAAATCTTATGTTATATAAATATTAGAGTAGGCCTATTAACATTTAAATTGTAATTTAAAAATTTGTATATCAGGTTTTCTTCGGCTTTCGGTTATTATGGATTATCTTTAAATGCCAACGAGATAGGGGGACATCCATTGTTATATTTTTTCTTTAGTGGATTAGTGGAATTTCCTGCTGCAACATTAGGAATGTTATTAATTAAATATATCGGTCGTCGTAGGCCTCAAGTTGGATTTCTTATTTCCAGTGGCATCATTTGCATCTTAGCTGCAGTTGTACCTTCAAGTAACGTTTAATTTGTACAGTACATAAAATTAACTTATGATATTTTATACTAAATATAATTAATTATTATTTTAGATTTATTAGAATTGAGGATATTTTTCGCAGTAATGGCGAAATTATGTGTATCGGCATCATTTTTAATTATATACATCTTCTCGTCAGAGATTTATCCTACTGTTATTAGAAATGTTGGCATGGGTACGAGTTCCATGTGCGCTCGGATAGGAACTTTAGTTGTGCCATTTTTGAAAGAATTGGTAAGTTGCCGAAGAATTTATAAAGCGAATAAATTTCTGTTACTCGAATATGTTTTTTATATTTACATAATCAGGGAGAGATTGTTCATCAAGCATTGCCGTTAACTTTACTTGGCACGTTTTCAATCACTAGTGGGCTTCTAGTCTTGCTTTTACCAGAAACTTTACACACTCATTTGCCAGATACATTAGCAGAAGGGGAACAATTTGGAAGGTAATTTAGCGATAAATAGTAATTAAGTAGGCCTATATAATAAACATAATTAAATTGAGTTTTATATTTATTGCAGGATTTAAGTTAAAGGTTATGAAGATTTTTTTTTCGTGATTTCTATTGAGAAATTAGAAAAATCGTACTCTAATCTTCTATGTTTATAAATGAGGATGTTTGTTTGTTCGCTATACACTCCTAGGCCGTTCGACCAATTACTATGAAACCCAGATGTTACGTTTACATATTTCTAACATAGATAATGTCGTTCATCTCACTCCAGAATATCTATTGGATTTCTGCAAATTCGATTAATTTTAATCTNTGGGGAACAATAAAAACACTACACTCAACAAGCCACCAATAAAACTCAACTGCCTAACCTATAACCAAAGTCTCCTTTTAATTTGTTTTTAAAAAAAAAGCGCTTGACAAACTTGCCCCGCATGCCGAAGTTGCCCCGGTCTCCCCTATATGATTAGATATTCTAATCAAAATATAATTATCTATGCTCTAGAAGTCAATACAGTATATTATTTCTGTTCTAAACAGAAAAGCTGACGTTGCTTTAGTACATGATACATACAGCATTTACTATTACTTGTCTTAGTAAAATATGATGTTATATTTTATAACTTAAAATTGATTTTAAGTAATATAAATTTTCAACTCCCCCAAACTATTTTAGATTGTTAGCTGTACTCCTAATCTAATTACTGTATTTAAAAATAATTTAAAACTTAAGTAATTTACTTAGTCTCTAACTCTTCGATTTTACTTTATGAATAAGTTACCTTTAGTAAATAGCCCATTCTATTTTTATTAGCAAGTATTCCGAATTTAAATTCTGTACCAACGATTATGCTTAATGAACCATCAAACGTTCATTAAGCGTTAAGCATTTACCTGTAAGTATTTACAGATAAATGCTTCACACAGAAATGCTATAAATTATGTAAAAATTGAGCAAATAAGTAAGAATTTTAGATTTTACTATAACAAAANTTTTGCAGTTTTTTTCCCTCATTTTCATAAAACTAAATTGTTTATTTTTTCTCGGTATTATTATTACTTATAGATATTTTTAGAGATAAGTTAATACTTCCGTTAAAACAATAGAAGATATAAAAAGAATAAGGAAAATCTAAAACATGAAATATGAATGTCTACGTAATTATTATATGAATAAATCACTTCACCAATATATATATATAAGTGAATACATAGCAACAAAACATATCCAGAACATTTGCAGCAATGGCAACGGGAATCACTTACACCGCATTACTTACAATAATTTTGACTTTTGCAGTTGACATTGGAGATTTTCAAAGTATTTACCGCTATCCAAACGGTAGGAGAATTGGAGGTCGACGTGATTATATTCCAACATATAATGGAAGGATTCCCATGAATCCCATAGTATCTACTGGATTTGGAGGAGGCTTAGCACCAGCAGAATATGAAGAAACAGTAGTAAGACAAACTAACGGTGGAGAAATTGTTCAACGAACTATTGTGACAGAAGACATCAATGGAAATAGACATGTTCAGAAAAGAACAGAATATCATAATAACGTAGGACTCATACCATGAAATGGACATTTGTAAGGACTTTTTGACGATCAAGCATATACAAGAAATCGAATACGTAGTACAAAACTTTTATATTTTAAATTATGTATTTAGTTACAGTTCTATTATAATAACAATTTTTATGTATAATTCAATTATATATTTTTCATAGTTTGTATTTACGAACAAGAAAAAATTAAATAAATTAATTAGAACTTTCTGCATTTTATTTTGTTAGTTATTTAATCTGTAATGACATTGTCACAATGCCGGGTTGCAATTTTTAATCATATTTTTGATTTATTTCATTTAAAATATATGCTATCCGCTTCAAATTCGTAGGGTCTTGTCCCTGTTTATTCCTGCTAGCAACAGAACCATACCGTCATATATCTAACTCCTTACAGGGAAAGATTTTTGAATTGAAATAATGTCACTTTCGGTTTGCGTAAGAAGTTCGTATATAGTTAATCGGAGCTTCCTTCCCCTAAGCTTTCTAGAGCTAGTCTCTACGTTTATCTACGTAACTCTTTTCTCGAGATTAAGGAAGGACAGACAGACGACAGTAGGAATTTATAGGTCTGAAATTTTTAAAATTGCAGTCCAATGGTGGGATAAGCCAACGCAACACATAGGCAATATACAAAGGAAATGCTTCCTGGGAGAGATTTTCTGTGAAAAAATTTAGGTATTAAACACGTGGAGAAAACCCGGAAAACTGCTCGTGGTCAATTTGCTCTTGAATCCGGGATCAATTACTAAGAAAATGGTCAGTAGTTTTATCCACTCAACAACAACGAACGATAAAGCAGTGAATGAATTTAAAATTCTAGATGATTTCGATTTAAAAATATTTAAAATGAATGTAATTCGTCGCATTGATACCGCATAAATCGACTGCACCTCGATTATAAACTAGTATAATTTAATATCTGATTATGTGCTCATTTTTATATAAATAGACTCCTTTTGTTATATTTTTGTTTTGTTAAATAAAAATATTAATAGTGGTGGAAAAAACTGTACAGACAAACAAAAAGTCCAACTTTATTTAGGTGTACAGTACAGTAAAATCCTCTGGGTGTGTTCTCTCAAGAACAGTATATGCTGATGACAAACAATACAGCTCATTAAAACACTTAAACGGTGCAGTGGAGAAAGCATGGCATGTTATACCAAGTGCCACAAATAAAACTGCTTAATGGCCATATTTTGTTTTTTCCATTAACCCGTGAAGTATTAAATATATTTTCTCATATTTTATTGGATACTGGCCAGTAACTTTTTAGACATAATTAGATTTATTTAATCAAGAATGCTAACCATTAGTTTCATATAACNATCATTTAATATAACATGTATAAGCTATTTTAAAATTATATATGCGTTAATAATACCTGCTTTATTAGATTCAGATTTTTGTTAATTAAAATAAAAATGAGGAAAATACGTTCTTAAAATATTCAGTTGATTTTCACTGGTGTTGCGAATTATAGTGCTGAGCAGCACCATAGCACTTATTAGGGCATATGATAAGTCATATCTTGTTACTTCACACTGACACGACATCCGTTAAATAAACAAGGAAGGTGATTGGTCACGTTATCAGCTGATTTCCTGGATATATAGTCTCTATAGAAAAGAATACTTGGAAAACTTTATAAAGAGAACTTTATAAAGAGAACTCCACAAACGTCCCAAAGTTTTCAGAACTTTAAAGAAAGTTATATTAATTTACAATGAAGAAGTTTTACTTTGTTCTGTTCTTTATAGTTTTACTGTTGAACTTAATTACAGCGGAAGATCGTTTCGACGATTTTAAAGAGAAAGCTTCCGACGTCTGGGACAAAACTAAATCGAAGGCCAAAGAATGGGGATCCAAAGGCAAAGACTTCGCACAGGAAGGTTGGGAAAAAACTAAGGATGCTTCCAAAAAAGGCTGGGAACAAGTGCAGAAAGGTTGGAAAGGATTCAAAGATTGGATTGGATAATTTTCCGAAGATTCCTGTCAAAACATACATATTGATCTTTGTTGTATGTAATAATCATTATTCGATAATTTTAAAATATATGTTATTTTTTTATTAAGTAATATGCTTAAATGACAACATTAATGCATTTTTTAAAATGTGATTATAAAAAATATATTTTTTGCAACTTATTCATTTTTTGATACAATTTTGAAAAGAATCTGTACTCTTTTACGACACCATTGTGTACTATTTGCATTGTTAGCATGTGAAAAAATAACTGTTTCGTTTACATCACCTGCTTTAAAATAATAGCAGTAATGATTATGGTATAAAGTTACAATAGGAGAGCGTTTATGTAATAGGTGAAACCTACGTACTGTACTATAGAATGTTTTCCAGTTATATATACAGTATATTTAAAATGAACTTTCTTATGTACTATAAACAAAGATTCAAATTTGATAATTTTCTATAGTACAACTAAGTGTCAACTGTTATTATATATATATACTTGAATAATATATAAATCTTATTCGAAAATAGACTATATATGTATTTATAGTGTATTTTATGCACAAAAATCATTTTTATTTAAAAAAATAAGAATGATTTTTGTGAATAAAATATAAAATGCAAAGTAGATCTAATGAAATGCTCAATATTCTATATTCTATACTATATTCATTAATTTCTGTAAAATAACTTAGAAAATAATCAAAAATATTAAATGAGAAATCATTTTAGTTTATGTCTTTTACCTAGATCTATGATAAGGTATGTGTTACAAAAGTAAATTACCAACTAACTGGGTAAATTATTCGAGAAAAATTACTACATTTGCAGCTATTACACAAACACAAACAGTTTTATTATTACTAAACAACATTTGTTAAAAAGTTATACTTTTTAGAACAAACAGCAAAGTGTTTCATCTTCTTTATTGCTTTTAGCTCATAAATATTATCTTTATTTTCAGTTTATATTACAATTATAAAGTATACCATTAATAACGATAATCTCGCAATTCTTTGGGCTTATCATATAAAATAGACCTATATAAAACATTTATTAAGTCGGAAATTATTATTGTTTTTAGCTTATCTTCATGGTTTAAATATATACTGTATTTTGTTATACATTTAAAATTACTTTCTATGGTTTATGATAAATAGGGGAGACCGGGGCAAGATCGGCATGTTAAGCTTTACTTAAATTTTGTGTAATAAATACTGCTGTAAACTGAAAAAAAAGCTTTGCATATTGTCTATTGGAATGTTACCTTACTATAGAACTGGTTAAAAGCAGTTTGGAAATAAAAATAATTAAAATAATTACAACTTTACAAGAAGAGAGAAATTGACGAAGTTGCCCCGGGTATNAAATATATGTTATTTTTTTATTAAGTAATATGCTTAAATGACAACATTAATGCATTTTTTAAAATGTGTATTTAATTAAT